TTAAGCGTCTGCCTTCGGCTCAGGTCATGGTCCCAGGGTCCTGGGATCGAGCCCCGCATCGGGCTCCCTGCTCCGGGAAGCCTGCTTCTCCCTCTCCCGCTCCCCCTGCTTGTGTTCCTGCTCTAGCTATCTCTCTCTCTGTCAAATAAATAAATAAAATCTTTAAAAAAAAAAAAAAATGGAACTTTGAGTGCAAAGAGCAAATGAAAGGATATTGTATTGTGTGGTATTAACATAAACTTTTGAAACATGCAAAATAATATTGTATACTGTACATGAAAAAGTATAAAAATAGCCATGGGAATAATAAACCCAAATTCTCATAAGTGGTTTCCTCCAAGATAAGAATAGGGAATAGTATCAGTGTGTGGGCTACACATGGAACTTCACTATCTCCTGAGCAATTCATTTCTTTTGGGAAAAAAAAAGAACTCGAAGCAGATATGGCAAAATATTACAACTTGGCAAGTCTGGACAGTGAAATGATTTTGTTCATTATATATTCTCCATGCATTATACAGTCTATGCTTTTCTATATACTTAAAATATTTCATAACAGAGTGTTCAGTAAAGAAAAGAGCATTTATATCAAGGAAATAATATTTTCACATAGCATTATTATAATAAAAAAGAAGTAATCAAAATGGTCAATAATAAGCCAGTGGTTAAATGAGTTCTAGTATGTCCATATAATTGATTATCTACCCAAACAAAATATTTTTAAGGAGAAACATATTAAATAATGGTAAGTGAAAAGAGTAGGATTCAAAATGAAGTATGGTGTTACCTTAACTGTCTATGTTTACGTGTGCGTAAGCGTGCATGTGTATGTTTGGATAGGCATGTTTGTGTAGGAAATAAGCCAAAATGTTCAACAGTTTGTCCTTATATTGCAATACTATGGATGGTATTAATTTCTTTTTTCTTCTTTTCCATATTTCAGAAATTTAATATGAGGAGCATATAAAACCTTTAAATACCATACATATTTAAAATATTTAAGTGTGTGCCAGTCAGACATGTAAACAAATGATTCTGTACAAAGACAAGAAAGTATGCCATTCCTCCAACAGTACCGTGGTAGCTAAGCCAGATGGTTACTAATGCCACTTAATCTGGCCTTTTGCTGCCCGTCAGGAATGTAGTCAAACAGATACGGGTTCTGTTCTAAGAGCTCCATGACAGTTGTTGGTTGGCTGATATCTCCAAATGTACCACAGACCTCTATCCAGGCTCTAGGCTTATCTATCCCGTGGCATTCCAGTCATCACTGCTTGGATGGCCCCACAAACCTTGAACGTCAGTCTCAGACTGAAGTCATCTTCCCTCCCCTAATTCCTCCTTCACCTCATTTCTTGCCTCAGACCTCTCCCATATCCCCCAAATCCAGGGGATCTTTATGTTCTGTCAATTCTCTCTCCAAGGTCTTTTCTAGGTCCCTCCCGCCACCCCCCTCCCCCGTGGGCCTTCTCTGGGTGAGGGACCTCACCACCTCCCGCCTTGGTCACCACGGCAGCCTGAAGTTTTCCCTGCCTAAATTTGTGTCTCCTTTAACTTGGGTTCCCAATAACCGCACTGCAGTGCACTCTTTATAAAATGTAAAATGTGATACAAGAAAGCCAAGGTTCCCATCCTGTAAAATATTGTACTAGGTAAAGATAAGCTTTGCTTAGAGTGAAAGAGCAAGTGTCTGACCCGGATGCAGCGCACAGCACTGAGCCCGAAGCCCCCTGCCCGCTGATCTGATCCACACTCTGGCTGACTGAGTGACTCATAATCGCTTCACTGAGATCATCAGCACTCACAGTCCGAAGCATATGACTGAGCGGGGAAACATGAACGTTAGCTTCCTCAGTAATGTTTGCATTTTCTATTCCTTCAGATCATGTTGGAGAGTAGGAAGTAGGAAAGCATTTCTACGGCCTCTCCTATTTTCTGGCTTTACGAAGTTGCATCTCTCTCAGGGAGGAAATAAACCCACTGAATGTGTGGGTTAAAATCTATTACAAGCCAGAGTAAGAGGAAACTCTTTTAATTCAAAGGCAAAACACACAGCATGTTTTATAATCCCCCAAAGTACGACAGTGTTTGGCCTGAGCTTCAGAGTTGAGCTTTCCACGCAAACAAATCGTGAATGTATATGAATAGATATGTGTGTATGACTATGCTCTTGTTTTCATTTTCTGCTCCACTATTTTTTTCCTTCTGAACTCATTTGTGAATCTTCTGGAAGGTATTAAAATAACACAGTGACACAATTCACTGAGATGACAGAGTGGAGAATGTGTGAAAAAAAATTATAATAGTTTAAGATTTTAAAGAATATTGAGGTAAGATAAAATGAGTCTGTTCATAACTAATGAGGATAGTTAGCAACAAACTTTGGATTATGGATCCAGTTCTGTGTACCTACAGTTCACAGTTTTTAAAAAGATAAGACCTTTAATATAGTATTAGTAGTAATAGAGGCAGTAGTAGTAGTAATAAAAAAATGAGGAATAACAATTAACATTTATCTGTACAAGACACTGTGCTAAATGCTTTATGTTTAAAAAAATTCTTCTTCCAATTCCACTTTACAGTTGGTAAAATTGAGACTCAGAAAGCAGAACTTGCTTAGTCACACACTAAGCAGTGTAGGGCCAGTATATGAATCCCATCTGTGGGACATCTGAGCAATTATCATGAAACCAACTGAAAAGATAAAATCCAGTTTTATTCATTGAGAATAGAATATTGAGAGATCATGATTCTCTGAAGCTAAGCTATATGTCCATGATCTCCGAGAAAGATAATCATGGGAGCTCAGGAAATAGAATGGAAATGTCTCATTTATTTAGACCTGCAATAAAGCATCCTCAGTGGCATTTGAGAAAGTCTTATTTGGGGCCCCCATGGATTTCAGAGCAGTTGGCACCTGTCATGCATTCCATCCCACTGAACATGCATGGGATTCCCAGCATGGCTAATTCAGCAGACTGTGTAACAAAGGGCATAGTGTCCAGGACCAATAAATAAACCTAAAATGTATATCCCTGATCCCTAAACTTGGTTTTCCTCTTTGATTCAGATATAAATCCACTTCTGGTCCTTTTCTGGTCTAAAAAACCACAACCTGTATGGCCTCCTCTCTCACCTGGGCCTGGCTTAATTTGGTTTTCAACCCAGGCTTTACCTTTTATTTCATTTTTAACTCCTTGCAACATATGTCTACTGCTTTGGATTGCCTTAAAGATGATTGGGGGAAGGATAAGATATGAGGGATACAGAAGAGATCATTTACATAGGGGTAAAATGTCAATTTGGTGGATGAGAGTCTCTAAAATATTTTCACGTGCCACACGTGGTGGTGTAGCTGTTAATGGAATTCCCATTTGGAATGGGAACGTCTCCAAGATAGAGGAAATATTAAGTGATAGGGAGGGGGATCCCTTAGGAAAATATCCAAGCTGTTAAAGTCATAAGTGTATGTGAGGAAGGAAATGAAAATATTACTCATTATAGCAGCTTTTCTTGGGGGTGGGGGAGGGGGAGGAAGTGTGGGGTTCCTCAGTCCGTGATGTTTGTCGGCTCCACACCTCTGAGATTAAACACCAGGTGAGGGGACGCCTGGATGGCTCAACTGTTAAGCGTCTGACTTCGGCTCAGGTCATGATCCCAGGGTCCTGGGATTGATTCCCCACATCGATCCCCCGCATCAGGCTCCCTGCTCAGTGGGGTGCCTGCTTCTC